GCCTACTTTATGGGCTGCTATCAGTGCCTACCCAAATTTTGGAATTCAGTAGGTGGGTCAATAAGGGAGAATGAACACTTCTGTAACAAACAACCCCAAACTGTAATGGCTTAACATAATGTTTAATTCCCACTCATGCCACCTATGAGGGTTGGATGACTCCTCTGAGTAGTTCTCCTCCATATGATGACTCAGGGATCCAGGCTCCTTATAGCCTGTGTCGCTATTATTCCAGCATATGAATTCCTTCTCTACATGAAAGGAAAAGAAAGAGCAAAGAAAATTATCTAGAGAAATTTATGTGAGAGTTGGAAGTATTCTGTATCACTTTTTGTCCCCATTTCATTGACCAGTACCTGGCACATATCTCCAACCTACCTGCAAGGAAGGGTAGGAAATTTAGATTTCCAAGTGTGCCTCACAAGATGAAAGGAATTGGTGAGTATCCCCCTAATCTCTGCTATTCTGTTTATGCCTTAACTAACAGTATAGGAAGGCCAGGTGTGGTGGCTTATACCTGTAATTTCAACACTTTGGGAGGCCGAGGCAAGTGGATCACTTGAGGCCAGCAGTTTGAGACCAACCTGGCCAACATGGCAAAATCCCCTCCCTACTAAAGACATAAAAATTACCTGAGTATGTTGGTGCAGGCCTCTAATCCCAGCTACTCAGGAGGCTGAGGCAGGAGAGTCACTCGAACCTGGGAGGCAGAATTTGTAGTGAGCCAAGATTGCCCCACTGCACTCCAGCCTGGAGAGAGCAAGACTCCGTCTCAAAACAAACAAACAAAAAACCGTACATGGAATAGTAGAAACAGAAACATTGCAACATGTCAAAGAAAAGATTATTCAATGTAATGTTTCCTGTGGTATACCAGCAAAAGAATACAAAATTAAAAAGGAGGGTAGCTGAGTGCTTAGGAGTGTGCATTCAGGAATCACCATGAATGGTGATTCATATCATGGCTCTACCACTTATTAGACGTGATGTTGGGTAAATCATTGCATTTCTTTTTGTGTCAGATTTATCTGTGAAATGGAGATTATATAATCTACCTCAGAGGAAGTCATTATAAGGATTCCATAGGATAAAATCTTTGAAGCACTTGTACTCTGGAGACTGAAAGAGAGGGCACTAAGGGGGTGTTGGACGGACCCAGCATCTGAGATGACATGAGATGGGAGGTGCTAGTATACATATGGCAGGAGAAAGGGGTATTAGGAAAGCATCCTCAACTGGGACCAGGAATTCCCTGGATTTCCAATGACATGGGCCAGTCAAATCAATGATGTCAAATCAACTCGTAAAAGATGGAATTGCTTTTTACAGAAGCAAGCAGAAGTGCACTCTTGTATGGAAACAGAAATGTCTCAAGTACCTCAAGGACAAGGGAGAAAATTGAATCTTGGAACTATTGAACCTAGGGACTAGAGCCCATTAGGGAACCAGAAAGTTTCTTCTTTCCCTCTCTTATCTTTGCTTCTTTATTCACATTTGATTCTTTTTTTTTTTTCTTCTGTCTGCAACTGACCTTCTTGGCCTTATCATGGAGAAAATGGCCATTACCAACATTTACATCTATTTTATTGGTTTGTTTATTTACTTTTTTTTTTTTGAGACAGAGTCTCACTCTGTTGCCCAGGCTGGAGTTCAGTGGCACAGCTTTGGCTCACTGCAACCTCCACCTCCTAGGTTCAAGTGATTCTTCAGCCTCAGCCTCCCAAGTAGCTGGGATTACAGTCATCTGCCACCATGCCTGGCTAATTTTTGTCTTTTTAGTAGAGACAGGGTTTCACCATGTTGGTCAGGCTTGTCTTGAACTCTTGACCTCAGGGGATCCACCCACCTCAGCCTCCCAAAGTGCTGAAATTACAGGTGTGAGCCCACATGCCCAGGCCTATGTCTATTTTAAAAAGAAGGAAAAATAAACCAAAATGGAACTTACACAAATTCCAAGTTTCTATGGAAGGATCTGATTGGCCCTGCTTGGTCAGGTGCCAACCCGGGTCCATTCAAGTTTGGCCAAGCAGGCAGGTTTACGTACCAGTAACATGACTTATACAGTAATCCTGTATATCAGGAGAGGGATGTGATGTTTCTTAAAAGACAGGCAAGGTGGACCCTTTCTTCAGGTTTGTGATTACATATTGCCTTCTGACATCTTTTGTGTATTGTTATTTCCATTATTTTTTACCTTAGTTTTTCAGGTGCTTTTGTATCTTTTCTCTGCAATTAGGTTATAAGTAACTTAAAGACAAGACCTGTGTGCTACAATTTTTCTGTTCTACCTAGTAGAGTGACCTATACTAGATAGAAAAAAATAGTTATTGAATGAAAGAATAAATAATTATCCCTGGGGAGTGACTTGCCAACTCGATGGCTTTAAGAGTTAGGGCAACACCTATGGATGCCTCACCTCCTTAAAGAAGGTGGTAGTGTCATAAAGAGATGGCGCAGAAGAGACTCTGATGCTTCCCAGTTGATTTTCTTTTAGCCCTCACTGCAAATAACTATTTTGAGTCTGAAAAAACTACTAACTACTGCCACTAACTACTAATTCCTTTTGCTCCTCAGTCCTTGGTTTCAGCAGCTTTGTTGACTACTTTGACACTTACCCCTTCTTGTCATCACTCACTCCTAAAACGGAACTTCAATTGTAAGCAGGAAAAAGAGTATTTTTTATCTGCATGTCACCATTATAAATACATGTAGTAATTAAACTGCTCACTTAGTGTATTTGTTGCTATAGCACTCAATTATTATCTCTTCAATCCTCCTTGCTGCTAATTCGTTCATTCACTCATTCATTGAGTAACTATCTTAGCATCTCCCAAGCACAGTGGGTATTCGGCAGTGGTTAAAACCCATTGCCTCCCTCAAGGAGCTTATTAGGAGAAGCAAACGAGTCAGCAGGCAGTTACTGAGAAAGCTAATATCCACCTTTCCACATCTGTGGTTCTGCAGACATCATCTGGCAAATGAAGAAATTTACAAAAGAAAAAAAACCTTTCCTTCCATAGCATGTAAGTAAAGAGAATCATTTGGAAGGCTACAAGTATGTCATGGTAAAAATGTATACCTAATTTAACAAATGCAATTTTATGCATTCTCTATTTGTAGTAACCACAGTCTATATTTCTTTCCATCTGTTTTCAAGTTGAAGTGTGACCACTGCTAAAGTGAAGGCCCACTTCTTTTTTGTTCTTTCTAGTCTTTTCCCTCCATTTGATTTACTCTCATTGACCCAGAGTTCACTTCCCAAAGGGCATATTAATGAAAGTGAGCTCCCCATAGGACTAGGGAGTGGTGAGCATGGCAATGAGAGATAACAGCAGTCTTAAAGATCAGCAAAAGAGGTATGTACATTTAATTCTACTCCCTTCCTTCATTACAGGGAAAAGTCTGAACTCCTTGGAGAAAATCACTTGTGGAGGAGAGAATCTGGACCTTTACCTTGGCCATTAGCACTTATTCCTACACCATCATCCAGCGAGAAAAAGAAGTCAATTACTAATTCTGTCTTCTCCCTCTACCCCCAATAATTGACAAGAGATCTCTTTGGAAATTCAACATAATACAGTTAGATCCAGGTTAAAGACAGAAGTAAATGTCAACCTTTTTTCTACAGCTCTATGCAAATACTGTATTGCCCCATCTCTTCTTTATTATGTAACTGGAAGACACCACCAACCAAAAAACTATACAACAACCTCAGTGCAAATGGAAGAAAGACGCTTGGTGTTAGATGAAGGATTCCAGCATGAGAGGTTTCCAAGCTTCTTGCTGGGCCTCGAGATCTCCTAGTGCATATAAGCATGAACTCTGGTTTTGCAGTAACTTGTGGATCTCAGAAGGCTTGTGTGAGAATGTTGTTCCATTATTTACTCACAGTAGACACGTGGAAGCCCACAGGAGCTGTCAAAGCCAGCATTATACCAGGCTTGCAAGCAGAACTGTTCTTCCTTATGTCTTCTTCAGAGGCCCTTTCTAAAGAAAGCGTCACCACATATTTTAAAATATGATGCATTTGATCTGACTTCATTTTGGGCAGTGTAAAACTTTGTCCATTTTTTCCAACTTGGGAAAATTAACTTGACATTGCAGTTAACCCTGGGAGTTTCACTGTTTACTCCCTTCCCACATTTATAGATTATTCCATGCTTACTTAGTTTCCTCTCCCAAAAGAGTGTGGATTGGTTGTTCCACCATTACACTATTCAGTTTCTGCCGGGTAAGTGGGAACAAATTTCACCTGTTTTAGTAATGGCTCTTTTCAACTTCTAGAGCCATCTATCACAATTCTGAGGTTGCTCATCATCAGATTACAGATGGGATTTGTCTGGTCTAGACTTAGGTGTCAAATACATGGAGAATAAAGAGGGGCAATAGCCAAGACATTCGTAATATCCTTGTAGACTTCTAAACCTTAGTGATTTAAGTTGTAATCCTGTTAGAAATAATCTGCAAGTGGTTTTCTAAAAAATATTTATTAAGTTTTAAACAACTGCATTTGTTAAGACAAGCATACATGGTGTGCTTTTTCCCCAGAATCTATGACAAATAAAAAAGGATACCAAAGATGACAAGGTAAACTGTGTCCTATCATTAACAAGAATGTAATTTGTGTTTAAGTGCCATTTATAACTTGTTTCTTTCACACTTGCAGGCTAAGTTGCAAAACTTTGAAAATTAAATGTTTAAAAGCTGCTCAAGGATTTTATAACATCTGAATTTTAAAAGAGTATGCACTTTTTTCACAGTTATGTTTAAGTAGTCACTTAAAAAAAAAGTAAGAGTAAAGGGAGTTCTTAATATACCCCAGGTAAGGTAAACATCTTTTTTTTTTTTCTTTTTCTCAACTTTGCAGTCAGGATTGCTAGAGTAGTTCTGTTCTATGGTTTCCACACACAAGTGAGTAAGTTGAGAATCTGCTTCCTAGGTCATAAACTCGGGTAACAAGTTATCAGGGTTTAAAATTCTTTTTTTTTTTTTTTTTTGAAAGAAAGAAAGAAAAAAAGGAGTGAAGGAGAGGAAGAAAGAGGAAGAAAAAGAGGGAGAGAAAACGGGAATGTAGCTTTATTCTAAAAATGGGTATTAATAATGGCCGATCAATATTTTGTGTATTTAAGGTGGAGAATGTATATTTTGTGTATTTAAAATGGAGAGTTCTATAAATATTTATTGAGTTTACTTGTTCCGCATCTGAGTTCAAGTCCTGGATACCCTTATTAATTTTCTGTTTCATAAAAGTCATTTAATGGCTAGGGACACCGAGACAGAGGTCTCAGTGGACAAGTTTCTTGGTTTCCTTTGAGACTCTGTTTCTGGGATTGTCCTGGCCTTCCCAGCATCTCTACTATCAAGCTTGGGGACAAGCCATACAATTCAGAAATTAGCTTTTTGGCCAGCAAGCACCTAGACCTATTCTGTATACCATCTGGACCTCAGTTGAACAGTATTCAGGGGAAGCTTTGAAAATGGGAACTGAATGCTTTGTCTATTCTAAGTTAAAGAACTGAAGAGGCCACCTTCAGCAGAGGCTGAGTCTCCTTGCAGAAATGATGCACCCTAACCCCAAGGAGTATTTACTCTTTGATGCTGCCTGGATCTCCTGCCTGAGATACAGATGAGGATACGACCACATCCCAGCTCACTCTATAGGTCCCTGAATTCTCTTTTGAGTGGTTCTCAGACATTCAGAGTGACTGATATTAGACAGGCCTGAGTTCTACAACTTATCAGCTGTGTGACCTTATGCAGGTCACTTCTTTCTGAGCCTCTGTTCCTTTATCTCTAAATGAGGATGATAATAATGGCACATAATTCATGGAATTATTGCAAGGATTATTGAGATGATACACCCAAAGTACTTTGTACAGTGTCTAGCATACAATAAAAGTTTAACAATTATCAGCAATTATTATAGAAATCAATATGCATCTAGGAAAGAGTCCTTTTGCTTTGCAGGAAAAATCATTAAAGTCAGATTCCCTCATTTTGACACAAAACATCTATGGATATTGTGAATGGCAATGTATTTCTTGGGACAAAATTTTGCTTCTTTGATTGAACTTAGATTGAATTCACTTATTTGATCGATTCCTGAACTTAGAAATGAACTCTCCGTGCACATAGGGTTGGAATATCGCACCTTCCTGATTCAAAAAGCAGAAGTCCTCAAAATCAAGGTAGCTTGAAAATCTAATAGTTCTCTCTCATGAGAGCCCTCATGAGCTCTTCCTTTAAAAGGGCTCTTGACTCAGTTCCTTCACCTTCCTCATTGCCTCCATAGATGGCCTCTTCTGCATCTCCTTGACTGATGCACAGCTCTACCTCCAGGGAGGTGAGATAGAAAATACTCAGTGGACTCAAGAATATAGTAATTTGAAAATCCACATTAAAAATTTTTCATTCTGTGATTTTTCTTTGTCAAAATATTCACTGTATTTGTTATTTTAAATAACTGTAAAGGAGGAAAGCAGATTTGTGTGTTTGTCAAAAGATGGGAGAGTAGGTTAAGAAAGGACTAGAAGCTCTGCCTTAGCAGAGCACACAGGGCTACCACTAAGCTGCCTTACCAGGCTTACCTGTTGAGACTCCCTCTATGTGGTCCATCATCAGCCTTACTGAATTATAAACTGCATGGCCTAGCCCTGCTCTTTTCATCTTTGCAAGCTTAGTTGCAACTGTCTCTGGAATGATCTGCCTTTAACCCCTTATCCAATTATAAAGTCTCAATTCAAATATCATCTCACAAGAGGAATACATTTGTAGACAGAAGAATCTGAGTTTGAATCCTGCCTCTGCTCTTTCCTGGTTCTGTGACCTGAGCAATAACTTTCAGTTTTCTCATCTGTATGGAGTCCAAAGAGCTCAAGCTCCATGATGCTGGGAGTAAAAATCTAGGCACTTAACATAAATCCCTGACTTGAGGATGATTATAATGGCACATAACTCACAGAGTTATTGCAAGGATCATTGAGATGATACACGCCTTCACCCTGTCCCTTCCCGAATCAGTTTAGGGGCTGTTTAGTATGTCGTCGTCGTTTCTAACAGATGCTCCCTCTGCGAGTATTGTGGGAACTTTTAAGGGAGGTTGCTGAACAGACTCTAAGTCCAGACCCAGCTGGTCCACAGAGTTCACCCGGAGGCTGGAAGCTTGCCCTTTTTGTTACTGCTACCATCATCTCAGTCACCTGAAGGTAACTGACTTTCACTGCCAGTTAGAGCAACTGCCTGCCAGTCAGGAGAAAAATCCACCGCCATCCTTGCCGCCATCTGGTTCCTCCATGCTCAGGCCTTTGGGCAATATCTTCACTGTTTCTTAACAGTTCTTTTTGAAACAAAATAGAAAGCTCTCATCTTTTGGTCTATGAAGGATTGCCTCCAAACAATGCTTACTGAACTTCAGAGTTCTGCAGCTTTTCTTCTCCAGATTGTGCTTGATTATAAATACAGAGTACACCTGTATGCGGAAACCCCACGTACTCTCTAAGCCTTTAACCTTGGTCAACCTTTAACTGAGTCAACTCAGTGGGCCAGAAACCTGTTCCGCTTTTGGCACGTTTCCTCCTGAGAGCTCTCCAACTGTTCCCACCTGAGAGTTCGTTGTTCCCAACTGAGTTTAAGTCCTTCTTCCAACTGAGCACTACGGGGCCTCCTCTGCAAATCAGTGTATGCAAATAGTTGCTTGGGAGTTGCAGGGACGGTATTTTGTCTCCTCTCAACATCAAGCATCCCCTACCATCAAGGGAGAATCTATGTAACATGTAACCTATGGTAATAATGCATACCTAACAAGGGTCTGGGAAAGAGAAATTAGATTTTATTAAATGAGGTAACATGTTCAAAGTGCCTAGTCCAGTCACTAGTACCAATTATAGTTTACATATTATTTAGTACATATTACAGTGCAGTTGCTAGTATGTATTATAGTTTATTCTTGGGCAGATGCAAGTAACTAGTTTCCTGAACCTCAGAGTGAAAGAGCTCCCTTCTCTGTGCTCCCACAGGAATTAGTAGGTTTCTCTGTGTGGCCCTGATCATATTGTGCGTAATGTACCTCTCTCTGTTACAGGGCCCATGTCTTCTCACTTCTGTATTCTTACCACTCTCCCTCCCCTTGTGATATACCTGGTATATCACAGCCCCTTAGAAACTCTGGAGTGAATGAGTTAAAAGAAAAATAAGCCTAAAACAATTAAATTCCAATTTTTCTTAGAAAATAATTATATCAGCACATTTTTAGAAGCCTGTGTGATCTTTCCCAGCTACCTTGTAAGTGACTCCAGGTGAAGGTGTTTAATTATTTTTGAATCTCTATTACTAAGCCCCAGCGTCCCATACAAGGTACACTCAATGGTTGTTTGTTGATGATAATTAAGTTAATGCTTCCTCAATTGTCTAACCCATGACACCATTCTAGGCATTATCATTAACCCAAATCCATAAACACCTAGCTCTCAGATAAACAAACACAAATGTCTGCAGCACCTTATTACTGACCCCACCAAATGGCAGTGCAGAGTATATGGACCCGTGGCCTGGCTTGCAGGTGAATCTCCTCTCCCACACTGTTTCCCCAGGGAACTGTGTTAGTCCAGAGCTGGAAGGAGGCTTCAGTTCCCAACTTAACCCCCATGACAAGAATGCTTTTGACATGGGAATTTAGACAGTCATATGGAACCAGTGGCTACATGAGAACTCAAGAGGCACCCAGCCAGCGTTTCCCACTCCTGGATCAGCTGGATCGCCCGGGGAGTATACTAAAACAAACACAGACTCTCTCCCCACCTCTTTCCCCTAGGCTTTAGTTCAATAGTCAGGACGTGGGTCTACGAGTCTGCTTTTTCTTTTTTTTTTTTTTTGGAGATGGAGTCTTGTTCTGTCACCCAGGCTGTAGTGCAGTGGCATGATCTCAGCTCACTGCAACCTCCGCCACAGGTTTAACCGATTCTCCTGCCTCCCGAGTAACTGGGATTACAGGTATGCACCACCATGCCTGGCTAATTTGTGTATTTTTAGTAGAGACAGGGTTTCGCCATGTTGGCCAAGCTGGTCACAAACTCCTGACCTCAAGTGACCCGCACTCCTCCGCCTCCCAAACTTCTGGGATTACATGCGTGAGCCACCGCACCTGTGCCTTTTTCAAAAACTCCCCAGGTAGTTCTGATACAGATCAGACTCTAGTGGGTAGACTGGACTTTGGAAACTTTGACCTGGGTCATCCATCAGGGCTGAGTTAAAACTTTTCTAATAAACAGATTGGTCTATTGTGTTACAGGGAATGTGGCACCAAGGAAGGGGAGAAGGACACTCAAGGGAGTGGTGAGACAACATTCTTAGGAACGGAATCTGTCAATGGGAGGGGGATCTGATAGGCAGAGATGAGTAGGGTTGAGGGTCACAGAAGGTGAAGATGAGATCACATGCCTTCCCACTGAATTCAGGAAACTCAGGAGGAATGTGGGGCATGACGTGAATAATGATGGGAAAGTGACTGTAGAAACAAGGCTTTGAGGAGAAAGGACAGGGGGCAGGCAGGAAGTCTGAGGAAGCTACACAACAATTCAGGAAAGGCTGCGGCGGAGGCTCAGCCCTGGGGATTTCCAATGTGCATGGCAGGAGGGACTTCGAAGCCAGGGTAAGTGGTTCCTGCCTGAATACAGGAGATGGGGTCACGGCTGGGTGCTTTCTTGTTTCACTAGGAAAGTTGTGACTATCACCAGGAGACAGAAGAAGTGAGGTGGCACAGGTGCAGTATCAGCTACTTCGGACACCTCACTCTGAGCGTGCAGAAATAGCTTGAGTCTATTTAAAGAAAGGCAAAATAAGAGGATGCTACTCAGAATGATCTATTAACAGTAAAGAGATTTGGTGCTGGGGGATGTTGGCCATGGCTTCATTAGATGTTTTTATAGAAGTGGAGGAAGAGCTACTAAAGCCAAATTGTACCCAGGACTTTGATTCTGTACAGAGGGCTGGGGTGAAGCCCTGAAGGTACTGGGCATGCCAGATGGGTGTTCCTCAAATGCAGCAAAAAGCGACTCAGGTATGGGCACAAGCAGTGCCCTGACACAATGGAGTCTTCATGGGGATGAGCAAAGCTCAGCTCCAGGCTGTAGCAAAGACACAAAGGAGCTGGAAATACTCCCAGAGAAAGGCAGACTCACAACATTTTACTCCAAACTCTGTGCTGGTCTGCTGGACTGTGCAGCTCCTTTGACCTCTTGCCAGGGCATGTGGGAACCTCTGCATGTCTGTGTGCCCTGCCAAGGCCATGAGGAATTGGGGATGCCACAGCAGGCTCATCAGCATCAGCCCACCAGTGCTCTCAGTCCCAAAATGCACTGGGTGTGGCACTGAGCTCAATGTGGGACTTCCCTAGAGACTCAGAGCCACCCACGGCCATGCCGCTAGAAGGAGGCCACTGGCCCTGATAACCTCCAGGCTGCGTTTACCAAACCAAATGCTTCACAGTTACCTCATCCCAAACTCCCTTTGAGGTTTGGTCCTGAGGTACACACTGGTTACCTCCTCCTTCCTTTCCTTCTGACAGAACCCCAGTTTTATTCAGGTATTCTCCCACCATTTAACACAGCTCATGGACCTGGAAAAAGATGACCTTACTGCCAGCCCCCGGAGTGACTGAGTATAAGAAAAGTCTTATTTTCCTTGTCTTTTTGTTCAACAATGGTTACGTGACCTAATTCCAGCCAGAGACACCTGAGGGGAAATCATCTGAGTACTTTTGGAGAAACTTACCTCTCTTCCAAGAAAGATCTGCAGAAAGGCATATTCTCCCTCCTTCCTCTGCAGCACCTCCATGTCTGGACATATTTCCAAAACTTCTGTAGCGATCTTACTACCGGCAAGAGGATGAAGCCAACATCAAAGATGGGAGACAGGAAAGCTTGTAAGAGGATGGATCTTTTAAGATACTGCTGAGCAATTGAATCAGCTAGCTCTGAAGTCCACTCCACCCCTGGATTTTTAGTTACCTGAAATAATACACTTCTTTATTGTTTAAATCAAGTCAGTTTCTTCTCCTTGCAACTAAAAACATTCTAATTGTTAAAGTTCTCAACTGGAAGGGCAAGCATCTGAACAAATATTTTCATTCATTTCCCTGAACCCTCAAAGAATGGAAGAGTGGCTTTCACTGGCTATTTCAGTCTCTTAGGGGTTCCTCCTGTCATACCCTCCACCTTCCTGAATTGGAGTTTGTTTCTCTTCGTATCTGCAATACATGCACCATGGTTAGCACTTCTATTTGGTTGATATAAGTCCAAAAGAAAGAAGTTGTTTGATGCTGTGTAATACAGGAAAGGGAAGCAGAGGGCGGGAAAGATTGTGGATGACAACTAACTGTACACGATCAAAGACGAGAACTGTGCACAACTCAAGATGCTGAGGTCAGGCGTGGTGGCTCACGTTTGTGATCCCAGCATTTTGGGAGGCCGAGACAGGCAGATCACAAGGTCAGGAGATTGAGACCATTCTGGCCAACATGATGAAACCCCATCTCTACTACAAATATAAAAAATTACCTGGGCGTGGTGGTGTGCATCTGTAATCCCAGCTACTCAGGAGGCTGAGGCAGGAGAATCACTTGAACCTGGGAGGTGGAGGTTGCACTGACCCGAGATCGTGTGCCATTGTACTCCAGCCTGGCTACAGAGCTCGGGTCCCTCTCAAAAAAAGAAAAGAATAAGATGCTGAATGTGTGCGAGGGCCATGGCACACATTCCACAGTGAAAATCAAGGCACCTTTCAAACCTACTGTCCCATGTCCCAATGTCCTTTGAGATCCTTTCTATGGAGCTATGCTGTCCTGTACGGTAGCCATCAGCAATTAGCCACTTGCCACAGCCACTAGCCATAGATGGCTATTTACATTTTTTATTAAAATTAAACATAAAATTTAGTTCTGCAGTCGTGCTAGCCATACCTCAATTCTCAGGAGCCACGTGTCCCTATCATACTGGACAGGACAGACAGAGAACATTTCTATTGCTGCATAAAGTTTATTGGGCAGCACTGCTACAGAGGCACCTCTTTATTCAAAGAGAAATGATAACTAGAAGAACCAATCCCAGGCTTTGAAATCATGAAAGATGAATGCACAGTGGCAAAGACACAATTTTGTAGTGAGTTCTGGGTTTAAGTCCTGGCTGTTCCACTTACATAAACTGTATGAACCTTCGCTTCTTTATAAAGTGAGGAAAATAAATTGTATTTATTTTGGAGGAGTATTCTGAGGACTACAGTGATATATATAAAATACTTAAGGAAGGTTCTTAGCATGCTGTAGATGCTCAATGACATTAAGTGCTATCCCTGGTTTCCTTCCTTGGGGATGAGTTACATAAAATTTTGCTTTGTCCATACAATCCTCTATACCTATGATGGTCCAAGTGTGGTTCACAGACTTGTAGCTTCAGCATCACCTAAGAATTAGAGAAGCAGGATCTCAGGCCCGACTTCAAAGCTATGAAAGCAGAATTTACAGTTTAACAAGACCCCAGGTGATTTGTATTCACATTAAATGTTGGGAACCACTTATTTATTCAACATGATGATCAAAAATTCAAAATAAGTAAACTATGTGACCTACAAAAATGATTTTGGTAAGACTGTGGAAGTCTAACCATAACTGAGATGCATCAGTTTGAAGACAGTGGCTGAGCCCGGCAATGATGAGACCTGGGTCAAGAAGGAGCACCAGGACAGAGACCTCTTGCATCATTTCAGCAAGATAACTCTGCAAGAAGCAGAAGCTCTCGCTTCCCTGAATGGGAGAATCTGATGCATCCCTAAATCCTCCCAGGAGGTAAGCCACTGCTGCACAGTCCTAAAAGTTATGGGCTTAAACGATAGAAGTTCCTGCTGATAAGAAATCCAGACAGGGCACTGGGCCTGAGTCCTCAACTGGAAGACTTGCAGGTTGAGGCTGGAATCATCTGAACTCTCATTTAATCACATGTGTGACCACTGATGCTTGCTGTCATTTGGGGGCCTCACTAGCACTGCCAGCTGCAACACCCACCCATGGCCTCTCCTTGTGGCCTAGCCTTCCTCAGATCATGGTGGTTGGGCTCCAGGGACAAGCATTGAGAGAGAGAAAGAGAAGAGAGAGAAAAGGGGAGAGAGATAAGGAGAAAAATAGAGAGAGAGGAGAAAAGGAGGGAGGCAGAACCACATGGTAGCCATACTGCGCTCTATGACCTAGCTTTGGCAGTCACGCAGTATCACTTCTGCCATCCTCCATTGGCCAAGATAGCTACAAAGTTCTGCTTAGGATGAGAGGAAGGAAACATAGACCCAACCTCTCAATAAAGGTGAGTCAATGTCACATTGTAAGAACATTATGTGGAAAGAGATATTTTTGTGATGGCCCTATAATTGTGGCCACCTTTGGAAATTCAAATCTACTATACAAATATTCTTTTAAATTCAAGATATTCCAGATCTGAAGATGTTGTTCCCACCACCATCACCATTAACAACTTCTTATTTAGTGTCTTCCACGTGCAGGGCATCATATTCTGATTCATATTTATTTTACAGCAAGACTGCAGGGAATTCATCTCCCTTTGGTGTACCATGTTCTTGGGAATCGTCACAATTTTTTTTCCAGGAAAAATAGCTTCAAAGCTTTTCATTCTGTCTTGTTCTTTTGCGTTATTTCATTACAGTCAAACTCTTTGAATGTGACATCAAAGGACTTGGAGAAGGATGTGAGGATAAGTGGAATAGGTAAAGATAACGGCTCATTCACTGGTACTGAGTCCCCAAATAGGTTTTTGGTTGCTCAGCAGCTTGAGATTCATTGCTAATAGCAAATAAAATAATTACAACAAAATGTGGCCATGCATTAAAATTGGTGTTGATTTCTACATTAAAATTGTTGATTTCTACTTTTGGTAGATATCTAACTACCTTACATTTTCAGACTAAAACATTCCTCTGTGCATTTTCATCTTTATAGTAAAACTTTCTTGGCAAGATTGATCTCAATCTGTTTGGTGGTTCTTATATTAGAGCAGAATCAAGAAAAGGGGAAGAAGAGATATAGTTTTCTACATATGACAAAATAAAAAATACTAGTGTTTGTTTCTCATTTAAAAAAAAAAAGTCAGAGGCAAAAACTACAATTGGATCTGGCCTATAGCCACTCATGCTAAATAATGAAGGAAGGGAAGCATAAGGCAACCGGATATAGACTTGGCACAGACTTGTAGGTTTCTAATTTTGTAGAATCTTCTGTGTTCCCTTGCACCAGAAAGTCACATCCTAGCTTTGTGTAGTTAGATGCTTTGCCCTGTGATAGTCTTTTCTCCCTACCCACCTCCTAGCTGCTGTTAACAACTCAATGTTCTCATTATTTCCTTCTCAGAAACTTCACACATGCTAGTTCACTGCATATATACACAGTCACACACACACAGACACACACACACACACACGAGCTTATACAGTCATGCATGTGCACATACACAATCACTTCTAAGCACACACACAGACTCTCAGGTTGCCCTAGCACAACACACACACACACACACACACACACACACACAAGCTTATACAGTCATGCATGTGCACATACACAATCACTTCTAAGCACACACACAGACTCTCAGGTTGCCCTAGCACAACACACACACACACACACACACACACACACACACAAGCTTATACAGTCATGCATGTGCACATACACAATCACTCTTAAGCACACACACAGACTCTCAGGTTGCCCTAGCACAACCCAATTCCTGACTCTGATCACCTGTGCAACTTCCTGACCATCTCTTCCCTCCCTTGAACACCCAGCTTCACCCCTAAGCACGAGGAAAACCTTTCATTTTGGGGGACCTCTATGATAATAGTGACACTCACATTCAAGACACTCCCAAAACTCAGAGTTCTGACTTCCGGTGTCAGCACCATATGACTCCACTCCATTCTTTTCTGCTAATCAAGATTATCAGGAAGCAATTAAGAGTGAAATCTGCATAAGGGCAACCTCAAATTTGTTTTATTTTTAATTTCACAAAATTCTGTGTTTTGAATCAAATTGAGCTCCTTAGAAAGATATGTTGAAATCCTAACCCCCACACCTGGGATTGTGATAATCAAGTAAGACTTACTTGAAAATAGTCTTTGTAGATGTAATCAATTCAGATGAAGTTACTAGGGTAGGGTCTAAACCAGTATGACTGGTCTCTTATAAGAAGGGGAGAAGACACACAGGCAGGGAAAATGTCATGTGACGATGAAAGCAGAGACTAAAGGGATGCGGCTACAAGCCAAGGAACACCAAGGTTTGCCTGCCATCACCAGAAGGCAGGCAGCAAGGAAGGATCCCACGCAAGATTTCTCAGAGGGAAGTGGCCCTGATGATATCTTGATTTCAGACTTCCAGATTCCAGAACTATGAGAGAATAAATGTTTACTGTTTTAAGCCACCTAGTTTATGGTACGTTTTTATGGCAGCCCTAGAAAACAACTGCAGTAAGTATAAATACACTCCTCCTAGTGAGCCTCATGACTGATGAGAAACAAAAATGGAATGTTAGCAAGGGCAAGCGTGGGGAGAAATCACGGGGGCCAGGCTGGGCGCCTGATGCCTGAAGGCTGGTCCTCTGTCCATCTAGACCCCCTCAAGTCTTCTGCAATGTGCAACTAGTTTAGAGACCATATTTGCTTCAGCTCTTCCAGGAAATTTAAGGTTCAGCTATGATGATCTGTTGCTCATAAAAATATAAATGCTTATGCCTCTTCTCATTTGCATGTCTATTTCTTAAAATCTTAGATATAGCTGTGCATGTTCTGTATGTTTCTTGTTGAACACTAGTCCATAGAATGTTTTCCTGGCTATAGTGAATTTCCCATTTTTGATGTCAGCATGGCAATTGCTGTAGTTGGTGGTATATCTTGGGTATGTTGTTACTACCCCTTTATGTGCATTGGTTGCTAAAGATCCACACCAGAAAGGAAAAGACTTATTGGAAAGACATAGAGAGCAAAAAAGCAGCTTCCAGATGAGAAAGGATGATGTATATTAAACAAGAAGGGAACAGAAGAAAGTGCTTATTAATTGTGTTAACTATACTTACATGTCAAATATTTCACACCTGTATTGCTGTCTAGTCCTAACAACAGCCTTAGGCATAGGTGTCATGCCCATTGAGGGGATGGATTGGAGGCTTGGAGAGCTTAGTCTGCTCAGTCACACAGCTAGAAAATGGGAGAGCCAGGATTTCTATCCAGTTGTGCCTGTCTCTTATTTCCATTTGCAGTGGAAACTCAATAACGATTAGGTCACCCTTGAGAAGAGCCATTCAGACTCTTCAGAATCATGAAGGAAGTTGGATTACTTAATTACCAACCTGAAATTGTAAGTAGTCACATCTTTTTACATTGCATATAATGGCAGTCTTACTTTGATACTTAAGAAGGCTACACAGTATATATTATTGACATATTCTTCCATTGAAAACTCAGATGTAAAAATGACAATGGCAATTTTATTATCTGCTTTCATAGTAATACAACCCAAATTTCTAGCTGGGCTTGTGGCCATGTTTCTTGGTTTTCTTTGCAACTAGATGTGTCCATATCACTAATTTCTGACCAGTGGGAAATAGGAGTGTCATACAGGTTCAGGAACCTTCCTAAAAGAAAGCCAAAGCATACCCTTTGCCCCCTTCCTCTCCGTCCCTTCCTTCATTATGCTCCTGGAAACCTGGATGTGATAACTTGAGCTCTAACCACCATATTGGATGACAAAGGTTTCACTCTAAAGACAGCAGAGCAGGAAGTTGAAGAGCCCAAGTCTCTGAGGACTTTGTGAAGCAGAGTTGAAATTTCAGTTCTGGACTGCCCACCTTCTATTTATACAAAAGAGAGAAATAAACTAACTTGTTTAAGCTGCTAGAACTGGGGCCTTTGTTACTTGCAGCCAATGCTCTTTCTAACTGACACAGGTTCATCATAGAGGCACTCAGCTAATCACGGAAGATAGAACAATGATTGCCATGTTTGAGCAGCTTCCCATATTATGGTGACTTCTGTCCTTTTAAAAAAAAAAAGGATGCTGACTTCTCTGTGTTTCTAGTCGTGTCTTCTTTTCTTTCTTTTTCATTTTTCTTTTCTTTTCTTTTTTTTTTTTTTGAGACAGAGTTTTGCTCTTGTTGCCCAGGCTGGAGTGCAATGGCATGATCTCAGCTCACTGCAACCTCCGCCTCCCAGCTTCAAGTGATTTTCCTGCCTCAGCCTCCCAAGTAGCTGGGACTACAGGGGCCCACCACCACAGCCAGCTAATTTTTTGTATTTTTAGTAGAGATGGGGTTTCACCATGTTGACCAGGCTGGTCTTGAACTCCTGACCTCAGATGATCCGCCTGCCTCGGCCTCCCAAAGTGCTGGGATTATAGGCATGAGCCACTGCTCCCGGCCCTCTAGTTGTGTTTTCATAGACTTACCCTCCTCTTCAAAAAGCCTGAAGCTGTCAAGTGAAGTATTGGGCACCCAAGTCCCATCTTTTGCCAAAAAGTCAATAATACTTAAGTTTTATGTTTTTCTCCATTTTTTCACTTTATTTTTCTCAGTCACTATTACTTTTACTTGCACATGCTCTAAAATTTGTTTTGTCAAACTCTCTCTCTGTTATTTTAAAGCCTTCGTTATACTCCACATGTTCAGAGATGATATAATGCAATACTCTGCTGTTTACTTTTATCATTTTTACTGACATAAGGCTGACAGATCAGAAGAACAGACCCAAGGGCAAAGAAGAAATGAAATGAAATGCTCTTAAAAACTCACAGGGAAGGTTTGTCTAACCATACCTGATACATCTCTGTGTTACACCTCTGCATTGTCTTTTTTTTTTTTTTTTTTTTGAGACAGAGTCTTGCTCTGTCACCCGGGCTGCAATGCACTGGTGCCATCTTGGCTCACTGCAACCTCTGCCTCGGCCTCCTGGCTTCAACAATTCTGCCTCAGCCTCCCTAGAAGCTGGGATTACAGGCACATACCACCATGCCCAGCTAATTTTTGTAGTTTTAGTAGAGGAGGGGTTTCACCATGTTGACCAGGCTGGTCTTGAACTCCTAACCTCAGGTGATCTGCCCGCCTCAGCCTCCCAAAGTTCCGGGGTTACAGGCCTCAGCCACTGTGCCTGGCTGTTCTGTAATTTCTGATAAGAGTATAAATACATTGCCCAGGAAATCTCCCTACATCTTCCATATGCTGCCAACACCTGATGGATGTTTAATAAGCAATTAAATAATCCCAACAATAAGGGAGAAACCCAAACTCTAAAACTCTAACCATCGCAAACCACCATGGCACATGTTAACCTATGCAACAAACCTGTACATCCTACACATATACCCTAGAACTTTAAAGAAGCAGATGAAATTCATGTTAATAAAGACTCTATTCAACTCCACCCCCTGACCTCTACCACAAAAAACCCTCTAATCTTCATTTATGACATTTTATAATTCCTCTAAAAGCTATTCTTTGATTCATTTGACAGTGGCTGAGAGAAGCTTGTTACTTCAGCAGGAGCTGGCCCAGAGGAGAGAACTAGGGAGATGCTGGGGTAGGGTCGATGGTGGAGGACGCAGTACACACTCCCAGGGCCATCGCTACTCCACCCTGGACTCGCACACAGTTCACTCTCTACTGCAAACCAAACTCCATGCAAACTTCACCTAGAAGCTTCTGTTTAGCTTCCCTGCCTCTGTGAGTCCCATGGCAGTGTGGATGGTGGCATCCACAGCACTTGATAGGCAAGGAGAGAAGGATTCTCCAAAGGTCTTCCCCGGAAGGAAGTGGGAACCACTTCTAAACGATGGGTCCCAGAACTTCAGAGACAGAGACTTAGACTTTGTAAAGCCAACTCTTCAAGATATGAGAGTGGACAGGGGAAGGAGATGTTCCCCTAGAATTGTACTATTTCCAAGTTTGGTTTAATTAGTTCTCCACAGCCACTTTACATAGCCAGGGGGTGAAGAGCATCATCTACTCCCTGAGGGTTGCATCATCTACTATGATTAACCTTACCCACTTTTCTTACTGAGGAAGCAGTAAAGTGAGCCTGTAAGCAGCTGGCTCTTCTTGCTCCTATCTCCAACATGCCCAACAGCAGATGGCCTTCAGGGACATGTTGCATGACCCCAGGTCCAGCAAAGACATTTCTTCTGTGTCTTCGAGGCTTGTCTGGAAGATGAGCTCAAAAAAACTCTTGATGAAATCCATCAGGCTACTATCAAGATTTGACTGAGACATACTTAACCAACATAAACCAACTGCTACTAACAAAAAAATTAAATGATGAAAAGTGATAGAAATGAAGGGACTCTGAACAACATGAACCAGCCATAGTCAAATTACAGTAATAGCTAATATTTAGTGAGCACTAACTGGGGCACACATTGTGCTATATGCTTTGTATATTTTAGGTAGCAGTCCTTTATCTCATATATCTTTTGCCATATTTTCTCCTAGTCATGGCTTGTCTTTTCATTCTTTTGCATTTGCGGAGCAAAAGATTTGAATTTTAATGGAGTTCAGCCTATTAATTGTTTCTTTCATGGGCAGTACCTTCAGTGTTGTATCTAAAAAGTCATTGCCAAACCCAAGGTTGTCAGATTTTCTCCTATGTTATCTTCTAGAAGTTTCATCATTATGTATTGTACATAACACAATACATAATTTTTAGGTGTATGATCCATTTTGCATAAACCTTTGTGAAGAATGTGAAGTCTGTGTCTAGATTTTCTTTTGTGTGTGGGCATGGTCATCTAGTTATTCCAGCACCTTTGTTAAAAGACTATCCTCTCCATTGTATTACCTTTGCTCCCTTGTAAAAGACCAATTGACAACTTTTTTTTGAGATGGAGTTTTGCTGTTTTTAATTTCAAATTTAGGTTGTTTATTGCTGGTATATAGAAGAGAGACTGACCACCCTACAGCCTCGCTTTAATCACTTATTAGTTCCAGGATGTTTTTTGTTTTTTTGTGAATTCTTTCTGATTTTCTACATACAAAATCATGTCATCTGAGAACTGAGACAGTTTAGTATCTTCTTTCCTAATCCGTATATCATTTATTTCCTTTTCTTGTCTTATTGCATTAGCTGGAACATCCAATATGAACTACTGAGAAAGGACATCCTTACCTGTGCCTAATCTTAGCAGGAAATATTATAATACATGCATACCTCAGAGCATCCTTACAAAGACCCTGTGAGATAAGAACTATTGTAATTTTCATTTTTCATGTGAGGATACTGAAACCCAGAGAAGTCATGCCCAAGGTTACACGGCTTACAGTCGTAGAGATCAAATTTGAACTCACATATTCTGTCTCCAGAGACTGGATTCCTCTTCACAGGTTCCAAAGATTAGGACCTAATGTCTTTGGGGGCTATTATTGATCCTATTACAAAGACATAAGCCAGCAAGAAGCCTATGGGGAAATAGTCTCCTGATTAGGTCCCTAGAAACTTATACTGTCATTCTAGGGAGAGAATGCTACTAAACAATGGCTCAAATTGGAGTGTAACATGTAAAACTGCTATTTAAATGCAATTTTTTAAGGTTATTACTATATCTAAGGAAATATAGATTTACTCATCATTCAGCTACCTTGCATTATATAGCCATGATTTGTTTTTTGCTGGAGCAAATAATTTGCCTCAAGCATAATTTTAATTTAATTAATGCCATAAAAATGAATGTGAGCATATTTATGGGGAATTAAGTTACAAAATGCTAAATTTAGTACACATTTTCTGAGGCGTGGTTTACTTGTGACTTTCATTCCTATCATCTTATGTTTGCACAGCTGGTAACTGTAAATTCAACATGAAAACTGTATTTGAAAATCAGCAGACATTTCACAGAGGTTGGGGGTGAATTTGTTACTGCTGAATTCTGTGATGATCTATATTCTTAGTCTGTTGACTTTGGCAGGTGATAATGGCTATGATATTACTCACATAGGTGTCCAATATTGGCCTGACTTGTCATAGTATGAGATACTTGAACCACATCCAGAAATTTTTTTCTGTAACCACAGAGAAGAACATTGAAGCATACCACTTGCTTAAGGAATAGGTATAACCCTGGCACTGGGGTTGGGAGCCTCTAGTTTATAGTTCAGCTACAGCTCTGGTTAACCTCAAGCTCAGAGGTCTGGGGAATGGAGAGGCAAAAGATATTATAAAAGCATCAGACCGACCCTCTCTCTATTTTAGTGTTAATGAAGGCTCCGGTTCTCTTTCCTTTCACCCCATAGCAGGAGGTAGCGCTTAGCACATTTTTTTTTAATGGCCCAGACAAGGCATCTCAGCTGTAAGAGTGATCATGTGCGCAGACAGAAAAGCCTTACAATGAAAAAGCCTGACTGAGTACCTCCTTCTTGGTTTCTGAAAGGCTCAGAATGGCTTGCAACAGAAAATGGATCTTCAGCAGCTGCCCACAAGGTCACCAACAAGAGCAACCAGCTCTCTTCATCAGCCCCTGCCAACACCACAAAAAGTACATATTCTCCTTCACAAAGATCCATGAGGCCGCCATTGAATGGCTGACAGAAATGGAAAATCGATTCCAGATTCATCTCCATGGGGAATTAAGTATATTCCTTGGAAATAATGAGTTATGAGGTCATTGAGGGCTTGTTCTTTTCCTGCTTGCAGAGACATTTTAATTTTAGAAGAAAGAGTGACTAATGAACAGGACATTCTAATTCCGGTGATGTGCTTTTTCCCAGTTTAATGTCAGCTGAACCACAAAAATGTTAGTATTTCTCTCTTCATTACTCCTCATGGTTGAGGAAGAACACTGTTGCCAAAGGGAAAAAAACTGGGTAACTCCTGATCCCTCCACCCAGTTTCCAAAAACAAACTAAGGTGCAGCTCTGGTGTCAGCCAGCCTGTTGTCACTGCTCTTAGTGGGGTCATTCTACACACCAACAGGGTTCCCCACGAAACAACATTTTCCGCACTTCTTCGACAGTAATAAGATACGAGGAAGACAATGTTTTTCAGAACCCAGGACCTTCAACAAGGTGAACAGAGGTTTGAAATGCAAAAATAAGAAATGTTCTTAGCAAGTCTCTTAGCAAGCAAACTCCCAGCTCATTCCCTCCCCCAAGTTTATAAGCACCATCTACTGAGTGCCAGCTATAATTCTGAGGTTGTTACACTCCTCTTTACAGGCATTTTCTCATTTAATACTTGTAACAGCCCTGTGATGTCACACAATTAGTAAATTGCAGAACTGGCATTAGAAACCAGGTCACATAGTCTGTATTCTTAAACCCTGTCCTCTAATTCAGTGGCTCTCAAAATGAAGCCTGCATCAGAATCTCATAGGGGGACTGTCATAACGGATTGCTGGGCCCCACCCCAGAATTTCTGATTCCGTAGATCAGGGCTTCAAACTCTGAGAACCATTGCTTTCGTGCTATGATCAACCACAATCACACTCTTAAAAGGCTATTCAGGGAAGAACTTCAAATACAGAACATTATTCGGACTCCTCCCTTCCCTACTTCCTAAAAGAGAGTCTGAGAACAATGGCTGATGTGCCCAAGTCCAGGTAGGGACACAGAAAAAATAGAGAGTTAGAGGTATGTTTTTCTCTTGTAACAATTTTCCAGTTGAGATACCTTCTCTACGGTGGCCCAGGACATCCACGACATACATCCTTAATTGTGGCTCTCTACTTTAACGTGAATGCCTCCTTCACGTGGGCAGGACTTGATCTTACTGTGGTGTGGTTCTCTCCACCATCACAGTTCTAGGGCAGGTTCCCAGAATTTAGACTAGTTTGCATTTCTGTGTCTCTTGAGAAACCCTGGCCCTATCATTTCAACCCTACAGAGAACCTGGCCACCAAAACAGCTACAACCTCACTACCTGAGTTTGAGATTTTCTTTCTCTATGAGGGTGTGTCTCTCTCTGTCTTTCTCTGTCTCTCCCTGTCTTATGTTATTGCTCACAATTTACTTATGGATTAACTAAACATTGATTGATTCAATCGTAAAGCTAATGCAGTGCAATAAAATGAAATACAGTCATGTGTCACTTAATGATAGGGATACATTCTGAGAAATGCCTCATTGGGTGATTTTGTTGTCATGTGAACATCATGGAGTGAATTTACATAAACCTAGCCTACTACACACTCAGGCTAGATGGTATAGCCTGTTGCTACTGGGCTACATACCTATATAACATGTTACTGTACAGAATACTATAGGCAATTGTAACACAATGGTAAGTATTTGCGTATCTGATATGGATTGGCTCTGTGTCCCCACCCAAATCTCATCTTCAATTGCACTCTCATAATTCCCATGTGTTATGGGAGGGACCCATGGGAGACAATTTGAATGATGGGGGTGGTTTCCCCATACTGTTCTCATGGTAGTGAATAAGTCTCACAAGATCAGATGGTTTTATCAGGGGTTTTCACTTTTGTATCTTCCTCATTTTTCTCTTGCTGCTGCCATGTAAGAAGTGCCTTTCACCTCCTGCCTTGATTCTGATACCTCTCCAGCCATGTGGAACCGTAAGTCCAATTAAACCTCTTTTTCTTCCCAGTCTCAGGTTTGACTTTATCAGCAGCATGAAAACGAACTAAAACAGTATCTAAACATACCTAAACATAGAAAAGGTGATGGGTTGTGCTATGATGTGATGATGGCTATGATGTCATTGAGCAGAAGGAATTTTTCAGCTCCGTTATCACTTTATAGGACCACCGCAAATATGCAGTGTGTCACTGACTGAAATACCATTATGTGGCACGTGACTCTACCTGAAATAGACACACCACTGGGCAAGGAGCTAACATGACTCCTCTTCTCCACTCTTCTTCCCTTTGTAATAGCCATGTCTTGGACCTTAAACAGCCACTCCTCTCTTCTTTCCCATTCACCTGGGACAGGGAGGACTTTCAGAATGGGGTACAAGTACACCCAGTGCTAGAGCAGACTTCTGTGGTTTGCCTGAGCCTCTAGAGCACAAGGGTTCTCATGCCTCCAAAGCCCTCACGGAGCTATTGTGAGGAGCTGTGTCCTCAAAGAGAAAGTCTGAAGTGACCAAAGCCTACTTTACTTATAGACCAATAATTTTTTTGTTTCCGTACTGAAAAGTCAGAAGATAACAAAAATGGGAAATGAGGCTTCAGATTCTACCTGTCTATATTGAAAGACTCATGGAAAGTTATATCTTCATTAAGAAATTATAAAATGAACAGGGTTAGCCTAAAACAGTAAAGGGAACCTAACATGTATGGTTCAATATACCTATAATATACCAGGCACTGAGTTAGGGGCTCCAGCTATGCTATTCAATTTAATCATCATAATACCTCCAAGAGCTTGGCTTTGCAATTTCCATTTCATAATTGAGAAAGCTGGGGCTAAGAGGTTATGTAATTTGCTTCAGATCTAATTGAGTAAGGTTGGAACCCAGAATTATCTTTCTTTTACAGTATATGGCTTTTTTGGAAAGGCACATGGTAAGTAAAGATGGCAAAGTAGAGGAGAAAGATAAGCAAACTTGAAAGGAAAATCAAGAAAGAGTATATGAAGGAAAAGTAACAAAGGCGTTTACATGAATTATAGTACCAGGGCCTTTAAGACCATTAACCACAAGGAAAAATGTTTAAATGAAGACAGATTTGAGAAGTAATGAGAAACACATAAAAAGTTTGAGGGTGGATTAGAGTACAACCCAAAGGAGGGCAGCAAAGGAGAATAAGCAACAAAGTCCTGTCCGTGAACACCCTATGACGGAGATGTTGAGGGACATCTGACCAAGGTGATCGAGCATAGGGATGTGGACAAGTAGAACCCAAGTCGAATATTTCTTTAGTCTTGTTAAAAATGAATGGGAAAGGAGGTGCAAATAAGCATGAGATTATATAAATGGCAAAAACCTTAGAAATGTGTAAAAGAATTAGAAAAATAAACCGGCAAAAGCAGAGAGAAAGAGAGATGGAGGGAAAAGGAGTTGGAGAAAGAGGAAGTAGGGAAAGGGAAAAGGAGGAGGAGGTGAAAAGAGAGTGAGGAGGGGAGGGGGAAAGGACAGGGGAGAGGAGAACAGCAAAACACAGGAGGAGGAACAAAAATGTTTTAAATGTTTCCAAGGAACAAGTATGCAACTATTCTGATGTCTGCAGAAATACTGATTTTATGCTAAAAAGGGAAAATACAAACATGACACACCTTTAAAAATTTCAAAATAAAATCACAGAGATGAGTTAAAGTGACAATATCAGGAAGGGGTTCTTCAGAGAAAGGACCTATATGAATTGAAAAGCTGGACTCAACTCTTTCCTTCAAGATACATGCAAGAATGCTGGCGAATTCATCTGTCTTTCTTTCCTTTTCTCTGGCTCATTATTGAGGTACAGCAAAATGCTGTCACATGCCCAGGCAATAAAGGGTTGGTTGGGAGGCACACCTGCTACTCTTTTTTATTGCTGGGAGCAAACAATGCCAGTTAGGATTTATGGCACATCTGAAAATGCCCCAAACACAATCACTGTCTATTGGAGAACAGTGAGGAGAGCCCAGACCTAGATACGAATCCCTCATGGACCCTGTTCCATACAGCTGTTTTTATGGACTATAGGATAATAATTGAGGTTAATTGCCACTGAAAGATACACACCATATGATCTTTTTACGTCCAGTTAGTGAGATGGTTCCAGCCTGGAGAGCTTTTCCCAGGGGCACCGCAGTGATTCGCTCTCACTGTTTCCCTGCACCTTACATTTATGGGTTATGCACAAGCTAATGGCGCTAATTGTTACTGCTCCAGGGGAAGCCCCTTTCGCTTTCCCCACCTCCTGCCTAAACGCCATGTCCATTGTCTTTTTGTGCTTTGCCTTGTACACATTTTGCAGTCCACATTTTTTTAACTGCTGTTTTTTTTAAAAAAAGTTACTGCAAGTGGAGTTTGGCAGCCTTGACTGTTGCTCTCTGCTCAAGCGGGATTTTGTTTTTTGAGTCACAGAATAAAATGATTTAAGAAAAAAAATCCTCCGCGTTCAGGCTTTGCCTTCTAGCTTCAAAGCCTTTTACAAGCTGCAATTCATTAAACACAATAATCATTTGAGGCCAGTGGACTGACCTCTGCAGGGAGAGAGGCCAAGCCCTCCCACCCCACCCTCTTTCTCTTTGTGTTCCCAGCCACAGAAAGCAGGAGAGGGGGCGGAATAATGATGGTCCCAGCAGGCGGGCCACCCATGGCCTCCAGCCCAGGCTGTGTTTCTCTCTCCTCCTTGCCAGGGCTCCACGCTCCACTTAGCCACTGGGTACAGGCTCTTCTCTCCTCTGGGCCGCGTTTGCCTGCCTTTCACAAATAGACAGGCTGCCCACGTTTTTATTTGCTTTAGATAAATGAAGAGAATTTCGTAGCCACAGGGCCAGCCAAGCCTGATATGTGCTCCATGGGATGGATTCCTCCTGGCCCAGCTCCTCCAGGCTGAGCTGGGGGGTATCACATCCCTTTGTCACCAAGAGACAAAGCCAGGGCACCCCCACAACATGCAGAGCTCCTTGTCCCAGCCAGGTTGGTTATCCCTCGGGAATTCTCCATACACCACTGCTCCGCAGTTGTCTCTCCAGGGAGGGGGTGGGTATGGCTGTGGGTCTGTGGCTTTGGGGTCACTGGAGTGAGAGGTATGTGGGCCACTGAGCTCCCCTGGGTCATACCATTATTTAGAGTCCCTGTTTCTTTTGCTTTCTGTTCTTCCACATGGACCATACCCAGACCTTTTCTTACAGACAAAGAAAAATTAAAAAGTACCCACAAGGCCCAACCATGGCCAGTGAAATTTCATACTGCAATGCCGAATTAATTTTTAGAGCTCTTTTTTCTTTCCATTTGCCATTGCTCTCCTCTTGTCTGCCTACTAGTTTAAGAAAAAACAAGTATAACATTGCCCTAAAACACTAATGAGTAATTCTACTTTAAGGCAGCAGATTTGGCATTTAATAGCTAATCATTTCCTAATGGTACTGAAAGCTTTCAGGAGTTTCATCCACAGAACAACCTTAAAAGCAGAAACTCGTGCTAGGATCTTCATGGGCTGGAGTTCATGTGGGTGAAAGATGTGGACCTGCCCCCTGCCCCACCACGCCTTCCCTGACCTTGGGCTTTCTTTCTCTTCTTCATTGTCTCTACCTCTCACTCCAACCCTCCGCCTCTTCTCAAAGTCTTCCCCCAAGGCACCTGTTTCCTCTCCCTCCAACTCCCTGATGGCTTTTCTACCAGCTCCAGATCAAATGGATCACTCTTTCCTTCAGGTTCTTAAAACATCCATACTCAGTGTTGTCAAAATTATAATTTTAAACTTGGAAGGAAGCTGAGATGCCAGCCTCTTTATTTATAGAACAGGAAATCCAGTTATTGTGAGCTTAAGAGACTTTCTCAGTGTCACACAGCTAGTTTGCCAAAGGGACAAGAATCCAAGTCTCCTGGCAATGACTTGCCTTCTTACCTCCCCACACAAATGACTGCTAGAGCCAGGGATGTCTGTAGATCACCCAAGGCCATCACTCATGGCACATTTTGTCTGCGCCCTGCAAAGAAAAACAAATGGAGACAAGGGGGTCACTGCTTTCAGCAACATTCATTCTATTCCATTGTGAACCAGAGTTCAGCCTCTAACTGCAACCTTGGGACTGTCAGTACTTCCTTGTTCTGAGTGTCACCAGGAAGTTCTGTTATGACCCCACTGCTCACGCTCCCCACTTCTCCCTGTTTTGCACTACTTCACTGTTCAGGTTGCTGGCTGAGCCCCTCCGGTCACAGAGCACGCAAATATGTTCGCTAACACATTCAGAAGCCAAACACCACCACTTACAGTGATGCTAATTGGCACCAATGGCAATAAAGACAAACTATATGGCAAGATTTGGTATAAGGAGGAGGTCCAGATGACTTGGAATATATTCATGTTAATTTAATATTTTTAAAAATAAACACATAGGAAAGCTTCAAAATTACCAAGAACTTTTCTTCCCCCTAAACGTTTTGGGAGTAAGTTGCTGACGTGACATACCACACCCCCAAATACTTTAGTTTGTAATACCTACAAATATTTTCCTACATAACCACGATACCAACGTCAACACCGAGGCATGTGCGTTGATACATTACTGCCATCTAATCCACAGACCCCATTCAAGTTTTGCCTGTTGTCCCGATAGTGTTCTTAATGGTAAAAGGATCCAGTTCAGGACGGTGTGCTACATTAAATTGTCATGTCTTTTAATCCCTATCAATCTGGCACAATTCGTCAGCCTTTCCTTGACCTTTGTGACTTTAAGAGTTTTGATTTTAAGATTACAAGCCAATTATTTTACAGACTATCCCTCAACTTCAGGTTCATCGGGTATTTCCTCACGATTATATCAGATTATATGCTTTGGCACAAACAACACAGAATTGATGCTCTCATTACATCCTATCAGATGACACATTAATATTGTCCCATTACTGGTGATATTTTTCTTAGCTACAGTAGCATGTCAGTAACAGAATAACACAGCATCGAAATCCATAAAGCAAAAGCCTAGAACATATGAAATAATGTACAGTAGAATGATAGTTTGGAAAAATGCTAATAAATTTTTGACAGATCAAGGGCAAAAAAGCAAATAAGGAGAAAGAGAATTTGATAAATATAATAGATATGGCTCATTTTATATCATTTGACTTCTGGATCCTATTGACAGATTATTGACATGCTTTATATCACAGAGAAAATAGCAATGTTTTCTGAGCAAGATATCTTATATTTTCTTTGAATAATAAAAGTATAAATATTTTAAGCTACTATTTGATTATTCAAAGGCACTTTTAAAGGTACCTCTTGGGACAAAGAAAATATCCAAACTATAATTAAACAATAGGAATAGCATTAGGAGAAACACTTAATGTAGATAACAGGGTGATGGATGCAGCAAACCACAATGGCACGTGTATACCTATGTAACAAACATACTTTAAGTTCTGGGGTACATGTGCAGAACGTGCAGATTTGTTAAAAAAAAAGTTTAAAAAGTAAAATTTAAAATTTAAAAATAAAAAATAGATTTGGGAAACAATAATAATTAGGATATTATATTTTAAAATTTATAGTATGAAAACAATGTTGTAATCAGAAGCAAATCTATGATATTAAATGCATTTTTAAATAAAGGGAGAAGGGAAGATATATTAAGAATTCTCTGGACACATTATAAAGAAAGCCAAAATGCCAAAATAAAGAGAAAAGGATTAATTCAAAGAGAAGCAAAAACTAATAAACTGATATTGAGAGAAAAAAAGGATACATAAATATAAGGATAGGATAAATCTATAAGAACTAAAGTAGTGTAGTATTGCTTCAGAACTGTACAGGTAGATCAGCGAAATTACGTAAAGTATTCAGAAATAGTGTTCATGCATAAGTACTTAATATATCAACAAGGTAGCATTTTATATCAATGAAGATGACTCTATTATTCAATAAATGATGCTGGACATAGATTAACCTCTGGGGGAAAAGGGGAGAAGCTAAATTTTTTACTTTATACCATATGTCCACAAAGTATAAAAGAATTAAAGAGTTCCTTGTAAAACTAAAATATTATTTCTAAATTTTGGGCAAAAAAATGACTATTATATCCCATAATGGAAACAATCTTCCTAAACAGCATCAAGTATAGACACTCTAAAGTAAAAAGATCAATACATTTCACTATATAACATTCAAATAATTGTAACACAAAATTAAAAGGAAAAGACAAATTAGAAATATTTGCATTATATAAAACAAAGAGAAGATTTCAATATATAAATAGTTTTTCTAGAGCAATTAAAATTAGAAAGACTTTACTTATTGGCAATATACTAAATCACATTAATAAGGAAAAAGACTGAAATTAAAATAAAGAGATAGAACTTTGTGTTTCTTACCCTGACAAAGATTCACAAAGATATTGTCTGCCCGGTGTTAGGCAGAAAGGACAAAGATACATTTCATATACTGCTGGTGGAAATATAAATTAGAACAGTCTTTTTGGAAGAAAAACTAACACTATGTATAAAAAATTTAATGTGCCTATTCCTCTCTAGAAACGTATTTTAAGGATATAATTATGAAGGTGAGCAAAGACGTATGTGCAAAATGTATAATCAGGAAAAATTAGAGACAACATAAATGTCCAACAGTAGGGGTTTGATTGAACAAATTGTGGTACAGGAAAAAGATGGAGTAATATTCAGCAATTAAAATCATTTTATAGAAAAATATATAATGCTAAATGGAAAAGGCAGGATATAATACAATATGATTCTTTAGTTAAAAAAGTATGTATACACACATATATGATTTCTGCATATATGAAGAAAAAAGAGCTCTGAAAATGCATACCAAATGTTAACAGAGTAATAGCAGTTATCCCTGTTTGGGTAATTTTTGTCTTTTCATTGGTGATTTTTGGGTTTTCTCTGTTTGCTACAGTACACATGCATGTTTTAAAATCGGGGGGAAAAATCCACTATTTTTAAAAGTGATTTGAGTCTTTTCATGACAGTTACTAAATTTTTTAGTTTGTTTCCAAAAGTTGCTGGTAATGAGCTTGGCTCCTAAGCCAGGTCTATTCAGGCTTCCTCGGCCTTACCCGATCCCTGCCCATCCACCCCACCCTGCCTTGTATTGGCACAGGGCTCCTTTGTATACTTTTTCCACAACCAGCTCTTCCCTCAAGCTCTTTCTTGGATCCCTGAAGTAAGGAAAGGGCTGGAAAGTCCCACCAGGACTTGGGGTCTGAAAGCTGCTCCATTCCTCATCCCCAGATCCTGGAAGCAGCCTATACCCTCCAGCACAGCTCTCATCCCGCTTCACTCTCATCTCGCTCAGCTCTCATCCCACACAGCTTTCCTGAGTCCCAACCAGCTCCAGGACAACAAGCACTTCTCAGTTTCCATGGAACAGAGGCCAAGCTGGGAGCACAGCATGGTCAGAACAAAGTGTCTGAGATATAGAGCAGAAGGTGGCCTGTGGCAATTATTGTCACTGTGTGTCCAGGGCTCATAAGAACCCCATAGCAAGGCAGTGACTAACCAAAGCATCTGAGGCCAGCTTGGGATGACTTTTTTCACAATCGGACAAGAGTCTCACTTCAATAACCTCAATTAATTGTGCAGAACAAGGCTAAGAAGACATCAAGATTGTTCCCCCATGTGTGTAGCCTGGGCCAGCCTAGCTTCTCTGGGCTTCTGCAAGGAAAGAGAGAGAGGCTATGTAGTGTAGGTGGAGTGGGTTCCAGGCCACAAAGCTGGGTGATTTTGAAAGCCTCTCTTAGCCTCTAAATCCTTCTCCAACAAGCTTCTGTCAACTAAAATCACTTCTGTAGTGATTTAGAGACTTGCCCATTAGAAGACTTAACACAGTTAGTACTTAGCAGCCTGCATGAGTGGATTGCTGCCTTCTCTCTGGAGAGCCCATTTGAATGGGTGGATGCATTTGTTTTGAGGAAGAGGTAGCAATGATGAAGGTTTTCTGAGTGAACAGATCTAGGAGGAAACCCTGAGTGAAAAAGCAGCCATTTGGCTGGGAGCGGTAGCTTATACCTGCAATCCCAGCACTTTGGGAGGATGAGGAGGGCAGATCACGAGGTCAGGAATTCGAGACCAGCCTGGTCAACATGGTGAAACCCCATCTCTACTAAAAATACAAAAATTATCTGGGTGTGGTGGCAGGCACCTGTAATCCCAGCTACTCGGGAGGCTGAGGCCAGAGAATCTCTTGAAACTAGAAGGCAGAGGTTGCAATGAGCCGAGATCACACCATTGCACTCCAGACTGGGTGAAAGAGTGAAACTCTGTATCAAAAAAAAAAAAAAAAAAAAAGTAGCAATTGCAGGGCTCTAGGTGCAGCAAGTAAGACAGGAAAACAAAAAGAGGGAGTATCTAAAGCAGGTGAATGGTGGTGGATACACAGTTTCCCCCATCTTTTGTCCTGTGCCAGTCTTTGGTTTGGAGTTTCTACCTGTCTCCCAGCACCTGTCTTGGTGGGATGGTATAAGGGGAGGAAGGGGCTTCTTGTTTCATTGGCATGTGAGTCAGATTCAGGACTGTAGTACTCAGCTGAGATCCACCAAATCTCTGCTCTGTACTCAGGGTGATAGTTGGTATAGCTTGGTTACATGGAAGAAAATTTAATATACAATCCATATGGGTTACCGTTCTGAAAGGTCAAATCATCTTTACATGTTGAGATCTGAAGCTTTTGCATAAGTGCTGTGCACTCAACCCTGTTCATGTCTCCTTTGCCATTCATCAGAACTTCCCTATGCGATGTCCTAGTTCTGCTGAAAGTACCCCTCTTCAGGGAGTGAAAGGTGGAGTGGCTGGTGTGATAGAGAAGCCAAAATTGTTGAACATCACCAGGTACCAATGTGTTGTCACATGATCATTGTAATATGTTCCTGACTTTAGTGGTCATATTATTTTTACCTAACCTAGTGGAGAAACGGACTTGGATCATAGCGCTTGGCAATGCGGAATTCATTTCACCCAGAAATAAAGA